GTTCGACTAGCTATTGTAAACTCAGTTGTTGAAGTCTGCAGTTTACTTATGATAAATACTTGGTATAGGATTTGAAGACTTCTGCCTTCTGTGTGTGTGTGTTTTTTATTTTTTTGGCTAATATTGATGTTCGGACTATGTATAATTTGTTAGCAACGATGTGATTTCAATTTGCCATCTCCTCTCTCTGTGAATAGGTAAAATACTCTGTTTAAGAGGATAGTCCATTTTTCTTACTATCTACTTTTGCCCTAACTGCACTTTCTACCCCTGGGGATGGCATTGATCTCAGGCACCTTGGTACACTTCATCGAGTACTGGGAATTGGTCTAACTCTCATTGTTTGACAATAAGGCTGACCACTTCAAATGGTATCTAGTACCTTTTTTGAACATCCAAATGCTTAGCTCTTTAGCAAAGCACTCCATGAGCTAACAAATTCCCCCATTCTTATCCTTGAGAAATGGATTTGGTAGGGGACGCCGTTGAGCAGTAAAGCTAAGAGAACCTTGTCGCATGGTAAGATGAAATTGAGGATTGCTATGCAAGCATGCAATAGTCTGCTTGGTCGTAGATACCATCCGAGGGTTGCCATCCAATGACCATTTGGCATGGATGGCGATGGTGATGAAGATGATAAACTCGGAATAAGATCACCCAGATGCCTTCCCATTAGTATCTCCAGTGTTAGCCTGCCGAAACTCGGTCACTTTGAATGTGTAAGCCAACACTGCAAAGAGAAGTAGAATTATGCAGCCCTTTTCGGATACAATAACAAAGATCAGAAGCTAAATCAGCATCATGAAAATTATATGGTTTTGGTGTTGAATAATTACGAAACTAGAGCTGCGCACCCGAAAGTAAAAGAAATTTTGATGGAAAAAATAGTCAAATGTGACAATTAAATTAGGTAAAAGATGAAATAAATTACTTATTTGATTATTTATTTTTTTGAGAATTTTTATTTTGGTCGTGGAATTTTAAAATCTCGTTTTAGTTTCTAATGTTCGTAAAAGTGTATGTTTAGCTTATTTAGTTATCGAAAATTAATTTTAGTTTTTTTACTTCAATTGATTTTGGTCACACGAATAAAATATCACATGACAGATGAATCGATATGGATATATTACCTGATTAAGATTAATTGATATTAAAAAACTAATATTAAGACGATCTTTAAAAATTAATGACTGAGTTGAGTGATTAAAACATTAACTTTTATAACTGATTTATTTAAAAATTAGGGATCAAATAGATAATTTTCCTTTAAAAATAAATAATTTAAATAAAAAATACCTAAACATAGAGAGTTGGACAATAAGACAATCCAACAATGGACAAAAGAAAGAGATGACTTCGTGTCATCTTTCAACAGGAAATTAAGTTTACAGGAAGCTTATTGAGCAACCAAATTAATCCAAGGCAGCCAACGAAATTGATCGTTCTAGTGTCAATCTGTGGCTCCAAATAAAATGCTAATTCCTAACTAATTAGACCAATTGATATTCAAAATAAAAATGTAAATTGGGAAGCAAATAGGTATATCTAATGTTACTATATATCCTCAACATCCAATTATTAGCATCTCAGCCTACCAAACAATTCTCCCAACTCTATCGTTGAGAA